GAAGCAAAAGGTCAAAAATATGACAAAAAAGCCCCCGAGGGCAAAATAGTCATTTTACATAGAAATGACGTCCCTAGAGTGTAAATTATTCTCGAGACACATTCATGACTTGTCGTGAACTCAAAAGAAAGTAACGGAAACGAATTACACGAAAACTGGACAAAAATAGCCTCAAGGGCAAAATGGTCATTTCTGAAAAAATATAAAATCGGGTACTACCGAGCACACCGCTGGGAAGACAGCGAAAAATTAATCAAGTTAGACTCAAGAATCACTTGATTCGGAGTCCGGACGGACGAGAAAAGTCAAAACAAAGTTTTGACGTCGCCGCGGCCGTGAATAGTAACCTGGGGAAAATGCTAAAGTCGTGTGCCGTTTTGAGGTACTAAACGATATTTTCTGGAAAAACACGAAGAAGAAACCCCCCTTAAAATAATTTTTCCAAGCTGACCATGTCATAAGAAAATTTTATTTTTGACGTGAAATTTCCAAAATGCCCCTACAACAGACTTTTTCAAATAGTGCAAATGTACACAAGAAATCAGATTTTGGCGCGGGGTTTTTGGGTTCGAGATGACATTTTCTGGAAAAATGTTGTTAAGAAACCCCCCCTAAAATCACGTTTTTTATATGATCATGTCAAGAACGGAATTTATTTTTCAAAGAAAATTCCCGAAATGCCCCTAGATCAGAATTGAACAAGAGGGTTAAAAGTTGCTACAGTGACTGTCTGCAACTGAGAACAAAAAAGGGCTAGAAAATGAATTTTTCTGGAAAAAACACAAAGAAGAAACCCCCCTCAAAATTGAGTTTTCTATGTGACTCGTGAGATAATTCAAAAAAAATACAATGTAGAATACCCGAAATGCCCTTCCATGAAATCTGGTCATGGAGGTCCAAAAAGCTGCTAAAAAAACAGAAAGCTGAACTTTACGATCGATTTCCGGCACCAAGACGACATTTTATGGAAAAGCATGAAAAAGAAACCCCCCCTAAAATAACGTTTTCTAAGCGACCATCTAAAGACTGGAATTTATTTCCTGAAGGAAAACCCCAGAATGCCCTAAAATTAGATTATGCAACAAAAGTACAAAATGAATCCATAGGAGGCTCATTTCACCAAAGGAGAAGATTTGCCCGGAAACGACCATGTAAGCAAATGTAACTTACCTATTAGGACGTACTACAATAGTCCATGGCTTAAAAATACCACCGATGCAAAATTTGACCCCATAACGGCCAAAAAGGCAAAAATGAACTAGAAATGGGAAATTTGAAAACTAAAATTAGGAAATGGTTTCAAATGACCGTTTGGCCCATGGCCACACTTCATACAAGATAAATGAGACCTAGTGGAGGTACCGGAACACACTTTACACCACTCGATATGAAAATGAACCCTTAAAGGCTTGGTTTCTACTATTTTTGCCCAAAAATGCAATATGTGAACTAAAACGCAAAAATGAAAACTAAATGGTGTTTGGCTCTTGGCCACACCTCACATATGGCAAATGAATGTTAAAGGATGAATTGCATACACAATGCACACACCGGTGCGAAAATGACATATCAAAACCCTAATTTTCATACTTTTCTCATTAAAGGCAAAATTCAATATTCATGAATTTCAAATAAAGTTTGGCCCTTGGCCACAAATTATATACATAGAATGAATATCAAAAAGTGTGCTTAAGCACAAAATACAAGTTTTATACAAAAGGCTATAAAATGATATTCCATGCTAACATTTGCATAAAATAGAAACTGAAAAGCTAGAAACCATCCCAAAGAACAGCAAGCATCACGAACCATGTCTTCATACCTGATCAAAACCCCCAGCAACTTCGAGGTGAGTAAACAAGTTTACTCGTAGAGAATGAGCATGCATCGACTCAATTTCTTTAGAGATTTTTAGGACTAACATGATATATTTCAAAAAGGATCATGCTACCTAACGTTTATGTCAAAGATTAGACTCAGGTCTCATCCTAAGCTATCATGGAGTATAAACAACAAGAATCATGATATATATACATATATGAAACAAATCAAGGTTGGAATAATCCAAGAACACGATAAGAAGGATACTTGAATATAGATTAACATGAATTGCATTATCAATACAATTAACATGATTGGAGCATTCCAATTAATACGATAGGGTTAATATACGAAATCAAGAACATGGCATAATATCTATGTTATTAGACAAAGTTGAAATCATTCACATAACACGAAAAGAGCTACACATGACATCAAGGATAATGCATAATATCTACGCAATTAAACAAAGATGGGATATTCCATTGAATATGGAAAGGAAGATACGTGGAGTCAGGAGCAAGGCATAATCTCTATGCATTTAAACATGGGTAGAATCTATCACATAACACAAAAGAGTCTTAAATCTTCAAGGAATACAACACTTGAAATTTAAGGAGTTAAATCACGAATGAAGCATAAAATCAATGCAATGAGACAAGATTGGTGCATTTCACATACACAACAAGTTTAAATCTTTAAGGAATAACAACTTGAAATTTAAAGAGTGAAATCAACCAATGTGGAAACTTGGATGTCGCCCAGATTAAAACCGTACTCTTGAGATCACTTTAGGGCTACTAACCCATGGGTAACTTTCCCCTAGTGCGCACTATAGTGTAGAGGGACATTCCCCTATACTAGAACCGAGTCCTAGCCATGTCAATTCTTGATTAATATCCCAAGTCCCAAAATCAACAAGTTGTGCAAGTCAAGATTGTATCAAAATACAAGAAATGCATTAACCACATATCATGCACAACCAAGATTTTGGAACACACAAGTCATTCCCTAAGTTCTTAACTATGATGGCATTTGAAATGTTAAGAAATCAATGTGTGCATTTATATAGACCACAACCAAGATAAATAGCACATGGAATCCATCGAAACAAATATACCATAAGTATAAGATACATGATTCAATTGTATACTAAACAACACATGTGTGAATAAACCATTCCGAAACAAATGAGCATGTTCATTAAGCACATTAATGAAACCAAGATACAAGAAGTCTAGATACATGATATCAAGGCATGATTAACTCGAGGGAGACATAAAATGAAATTTAATCTACTTAAGGGATTAAATTATCAAGGTTACATGGCAAGTCCAAATGTTCTACGAACAGGTTATGTCAAGAATCATGTCAAGGCTAAGTTCAATGTCAAGTTTCAAGTTCATTTCATACACGACACAACCATGTGAGTCAAGTTCCATACAAGATAAATTAATAAATGTAAGTTTCAAAACTTATCCGATTATGCTCACACGTGAAGGAACTTATCAAGAAAATCATGAATACAAGGTTAGAAACTTAATCAAGTGCATAGAACCATTAAATGGATTTTAATTATTTCATTTAATTAAAATCTCTAGATTTTGAAAGTCATCCAAATGACCTCAATTTAATATATGTTATACAACATGTCACAACTTGATTTAAGAACACGGTACAAGTACATTTCATGCAAGGTACGGCCACGAGTATTAAATCTTAGTACTAGAAAAATAATAATTGAATGGTTTCAATACCTAATCAAATATTCTAGATTTAATATATGTGAAACTATATGACATACATATCAAGAATTTCAAGTCGAAAATACAATGGATGAATAGTACACTTGGAGCAATTTAATTAATCGAATTAAGTAAATATTACTAGATTTCAAAACTGTGACGGACCAAGTTTTGTAAACCCGGTGCGTCAGTGATGACCAAAAGATGACCCGATAACGGATCCGAAATGCGGAAGCGAAAGGTGAAACAACGGTCTCTAATGATACAATGCATCTCTAAGACACCGATGTGACCCTCAATGAGGTCATGGAACCCAAAGGAAAACAAATGCGGAAGTGTCATTTCAAAAACGGACAAAAGGAACCTAGGGGCAAAATGGTCATTTTACAAAAAAATGGATTCAAGTGCTATCGAGCACACCACTGGGAAGACAATAAAAAACTAATCATGATGGACTCAAGAATTTCATTATTCGGATTCTGGACGAAGGAGAAACGACAAAACAAAGAAAAATGAGCAATAAAGCTAAAAGGGTAAACTGGTAATTATCCAAAAATACCTGGATGCAACCGAGCATACCGTTGGATAGAAAATGAAAAATTAATCAATTTAAAAAAAAAATTCACTTGATTTGGAGTCCGGATGAGGGAGAAGGGTCAAAAACAAAATCGACGTCGCGGCAACTCGACGAAGGCCGTGACAGCTACAGTGCCGTCAACCCACTACTGCTGCAACTGAGAGTAAAAACGAGCATCTAAACGGCCTTTTCTGGAAAAACTCAAAGTAGAAACCCCCCCTAAAATCAATTTTCCTACCCCGATAGCGGACGAAAACAAAAAAACTGTATTGTAAAATGTCCAAAATACTCTCAAGAAAATCAGGTTCGGAAGGTCAAAAATTGTTCCAAGCTACTGCCCAAAGAAAAAAATTGTTCCAAGCTACTGCCTAAATTGAAAATGCAATCTTAAAATACACCCAAAAGACCCCCGGAAGTTTCGGATCAGTCGTCACACTTTTCAAAAAAAAGTTGATGAATAGTACCAAGTACATTTGCACTAAAGTCGGCAAAAACCTGGCAGTAATGATTTTTTAGAAAAACATAGATTTTTGAGGGTCAAGATGGCATTTTATGGAAAAACACAAAGAAGAAACCCCCTTCAAAATTGAGTTTTCTACGTGACTCATTAGGAAAAATGAAAAAAATGTATTTTGAAATACCCAAAATGCCCCTAGAACAGAATAGGGTAAAACTCCCTAAAAATGCTACTTAGAGTCTTTGTTTCATCAAGGATGATGTTGTTTGCCAAAGTGAGCATGCAAGCATATGTAATGTGATAAAATAGATGTTTTGCAATGACCTATGGCCTCATGGCATGTCATATGCAAAATAGAACCCTTCAATGCATTAATCCACATATCTTCCATAGGCAACAATGAAGTTCAAAGTTAGCATACATTTCACATAAGTGTCTTTGGCCCTTGGCCTCATTACAACCAAATTCTAAGAGTGTCAAAAGGTGCACTTAAGTGCACATTACATAACTTAGATAATAAGTACAAGTTTTATCAAAGTAAGCAAAAGTAGGACAAGATATACTAACATATGCACATTCTATGTCATCAAAATTACTTCAAGAACTCTAGTAAGTCTAAGAATGCTGTGCCTCCCACACTAAGGCTTCTTTACCTGCAAAACACCCATTAACTTAGGGGTGAGTAAACAAGTTTACTCGTAGGGAATGCATGGGTTTATCTTTGTACCAAGTTACAATCCAATACCATTTAATTCATGCTATCAAGTGACAATAGAACTTTCAACATAACACAATGAGATGTAATTTCACAAAGTTAACAACTTGAAATTTAAATGCGAAATCAAACCAAAGTGGATACTTGGACGTCATGCCGGATCAAACCGACAATGTGGTTACTTTAGGGTTACTAGCTCATGGGTAACCTCCCTATGTGCGCACTAGACTATATAGAGGGACAATCCCCCATACTAGAACCAAGTCCTAGCCGTAGCCAAACAACGACATCCCCAAGTTTCCAAAATTAACAAATTGTGTAACAACGTATATATATTAACATATCAACTCTTTACCAAGTACAATCCAATTTTGGAAACTTATACAATACATGCTCAAAGTCTACAACTACTATGGCATGAAAGATGTCAAATACAAAGTGTGCAATTCCTTACACATGGCAACAATATATTCAATAAGGAAAAACATATTCTCATGAATATAAAAGTAACAACTATGTTATCCAATGCTCAAAAATAATCAAGTGAACATACACCAAATCCAAATCCATGATTTAAATATAAAAACAACTTCCAAAATGCAATTAAATCCATGGAGTAATAAAATAGAATTTAATTAAACATAAATAGTTAAATTCTCTAAATTCCAAGTTAACCCCAAATAACCTCAATTTAAGATATATATTGAAGGACATGTCATGGTCATCACATATATAACATCAAATGACAATTTAAGGGATTAAAATACTTAAAACAAAATTAATCAAACTAATTAATTAATTCCCTCTAGATTTTTAAACAATTCCAAATGCCCTCAATTTAATCTATGTTAGAGAACATGCCAAGGCCTATCCAAATATCACATTACATCATGATTTCATGTTTGCTATCACCATGTGAATTAAACTTTCACAAAAGATAAATATTAAATAAATTTTGCAATTCTTATCCAAATGCCCCAAATTTAATATATGTTGTAGTACATGTTATGGTTATTATATAAATCACTTCAAAACTTGATGTAAGTCATAGGAGCATATAAATAAAAATTAATTAAATTAATTCATTAATCCCTCTAGATTTTAAAACAACTCTAAATGACCTCAAATTAACATAAGTTATGAATCAAGCCATGGTCATGTTATTTATCAAGTCTAAAGTGAATTACATACAAGTTACAATTAGTCATTTATTTCTCATTTTAATACAAGACAAATATATAACTTAGATATCACTATAGGAACAAATAAAATCACTTGGACCCCCTACCTCAATAGAGAATTGAATCTCTATAATCCAAGCAACCAAGCTCAAAATAGAAAACAAGTTTAGGGTTAATAAAGAGAGGAGTGAGAGGAAGCTTTTGTCTTCCAAGGTTTTATGTCTAAGGTGAGTGGAAAGAGGCCAAAATAAAGAAGAAATCTATTAACCAAGCTTTTCTCCAATGGTGGCTAGGTTATGGTTCTTGAAGACAAATGAAAATGAAAATGATAAAGTGTAAAATGGTGAGTGGAAGGGCTAGAAATCCTCCACTCACTATGTGCTCTTACACTACCTCTCACACACACACAATGCAAGACTAAATGGTGAACCTACACTTGTCATGAATCTATGGTTCATTCCTAGGCTTAATCTCAAGCCTACACTTGTCACCATCCTATGTAAACTTCCAAGACTTAATATTGAACCTACATTTGTCAACAATCCATGCCAACAAGTGTACCAATCCTAGGCCAACAAGTGGGTGAATCTCCACCCTCCACATGTCATCATCCAAGGCATCAAAGTGTTTCCACACAAATGTCAACAAGTGGACCAATGAGAGTGTGACACTTGTCACACTTTCCGGAAATTGCAAACAAGTCCTTTTTGAAAATATCTTTCAAATTAAATTGCAAAATGGTCCCTAAGACGAAAAATAATTACTTTACTTAATTAACCAAAAACCCCTCAAGTTATGGATAATTACAAAAAGTCTTGTTTTCATGGCTTTACAAAGAAAGTAAGCATTTAATATGCATTTCTACAAAAATAAAAATATAGATGTCATGGAATTTAATTATCATGGATGTATGCAAAACTGGAATCAAATGCAAACACAAAAAATGAGGTTATGCAAGTAAAAGTGAAAAACGAGAAGATGACGAAATAAGGAAAAGACGAAAAAATGAATAGTGTCAAAAAAATAAAAAAATGTGGAAATGACTCGGTCCTCAAAGGAAGTTGTCAATCCAAAAGAAAGAGCCTCAGAAACCATTTCCGAGCACTCGAGACGACACTAAGAGGCGGGAAATCGAACCCGAAAAGGAAAAGACAATGAAAAAAATTTATCCGCAAAATTTAAAGAAAGGGAAAGAAATGAAAATGACCGGGTTATTACAAAAACTTCTCCGATTACTCTCAAATTAATCTATGTTGAAGAGCATGCTAAAGCCTAATATAATATGCTATCACACGTTGATTTAAAGTTAGATAAGGCTACATGATTTAATATTTTATTCAAGATAAATATTAAATAAAATTTTCATTACTTGTCCAAATAATCTAGAATTAATATATGTCAATCTACATATCAAGGGGTAATATTCTATCATGCCACATGATTAAACAAAGCTATGGACAACCGGGAAAATTAAATCCTTCACAAGAAAAATAAATAATAAAATCTCTAGATTTTGTGATTCAAGCATGTAATCAAGTTGTATAAGCATCACAAGCATGTAATATAGCAAGAAAGTAAATTATAACACCCCCTACCTCAATTTGAGATGGAAATCTCAAATCCCCACCGGAAGAAAAGTGTTCCGAATCCGCCGAAATCGAAGGGTTTTATCGGGGACAACATGATCTACATGAATACCCAAGAAGCCTCATGAAAATCACAACTTAACCTCAAGCCCAAACTCAAGAAATGGTCAGAAATGAATTCTAATAAGGGGGAAAGGTAAAGCACGACGAGGGGAACAACAAATGCTAAGGCCGGAGGATTTCTACCAAGGAAATCAGGTGGAGGAGAAGAAAGAGTGAAGGCAGCCCCTTGGGCTCCCATGGCTATCGACCAAGAGGAAGAAGAAGGTCTAAAAATATGATTTTAAAAATTAGGGCAACCTATTTATAGAAATCTCAAAAAGTACCCCGAAAGGGCCGGGTCCGGAAAAGTGGATTTTGAGCAAACGCGCTCAAACGGCAAAACTCCATGAACAAAAAAGATTCAAAATAAGAAAATATGAACAACAAAAGAAACGGTGTTGAAAATTAAGTCCCAAACAAAAAGTTATGCCTCGAACAAGTTCAGGGGCAACCGGGTCCAAAAACTCTGAAACTGGAGAAAAACGACCAGAACGGAATTCTAAGAGTCCACAACCTGAGGAAATGTGAAAATGAATCCCGTACGAGGATCCAGGCTCCAGACGAGGTATTTTGCAATAACGTTTGTTGATTGCACAATGACCCCTACAAAAAGGGTTAACTGCGAAACTGCCCTAGAATGAAAATATCTTCCAAAAGATATTTTCTTAGATACCATGAATTAAAATATCTTCAAAAGATATTTACGAAAAATACCCCAAGAAATGAAAAAGATTCTGAAGAATTATGCATCCACGCTCCTTTGGGCACCAGGAGCAACCAGAGTACCTTTTTGCAAAAGTAAAAATACGTATTTCGAGGAAACCACTCAAGATGAAGGCACGTGAAGTCAAAAACCAACTCCGAGCATGAGAAGTGAGGTTGTGCCAACAATGTGACAAATGGGAAAAAGACAGAATAGGAAAAAGGATGAAATAGTGCATAGTGTCTGAAAAGTGAAAATGCGAAAATGACTCGGTCCTCAAAGGAAGTTGTCAATTCACATGAAAGAGTCTCAGAAACCAATTCCGAGCACTCGAGATGAAACTAAGCGACACGAAACTGAGCTCAGAAAAGAAAATTAAATGAAAAAAATTCATTCGTAAAATTTTAGGAAAAAGGAAAGGGAGGCAAATGACCGGGTCGTTACAGAATCACCATGTCACCAAAGCTTCCGGCTGCCTCTGCAACTCTCGGCCCCTTGTCTGTGTTCTCAAACTCACACTCTAATTTTTTCTCTTACTTCCCTTCTCTGTCTTTGTATTTTATCAGTGCACAAAACACTCATATATATAAGGCAATCCACCGACTACAAAGAAAAGTGTTACGCCCCTAGACCGTGGTCCGGATTGTGAACACAACACACAAATAATCACAGTCTCAAAATTAATAAATATCCTTGTAACCTGTCTCAACCACGCATCCACCTATCTATTTCCCTTTATAAAATCAAGACTGAAAATAAATAGATAAGATGCCAATATTAAAACTTTAAAGTTTTAAAGTCTGAAAGAACATTTATTACATGCCAGGAAAATTCTAAAGAAATATAAGACAAAACATAGTCTATTATGTGGAACAAAACACTACAACACTAGCCCCGACTCTGTCTACAGCTGAGGAGGAACACCCTCCATACCATCCGTGCCATGACCTGAAAAGATATGTATAAAATAGGAATGAGCAACCACAGCTCAGCAGGAATTACTTAAAGCACACTCCTTAATACCTCCGTGAATCCAAACCAAGGACGGATATAAGATAAAGGGATCATACAAGCTCAGGGGAAAGCAACATATCATATGAGATAATAAAATGAAGTGCCATGTAATGCCAATGCCAATGCCAATGCTAATGCCACTGACACCTCTCACTTCCCAAAGTCCCATTTTCATCACAAAAAGTTAATGTAATCTGGCCAGAGCTACTCCCTGTACCACGAGAAGAGAATTGATAATCTATCCCTGATCCAAGGTAACTCCTTGCAATCATTTGGGGCCTAGTGACACAATTACACATAGGCAACTCCTACGTCTTCTCTAGATTTCCATTAACTGCACAAACAAGGTAACTCCTTGTCCGGTTTTAAAATCTTTGATTTAATTCCCTTTTTCTTTTCTAAACTCACGGATACAAGGCACCTCCCTGTTATTCGGTTTTCAAAACCATTTAATAAAACATTTGCACTTTCCTTCTCATTCCAACATCACCCCCATGCTCATGTGAGATGCATGTACATTTGTATAACATGTGTACAAATAATGAAGTAAATATAGAAATCTCAACTCATATACAATATCATGGTATTGCATTTTAATCCACACACAAGCATGGTAAATTAACAGGCTAAGTAACCCATGGTTGTATAACATAAGAAGCATGCTTTCTAACTCACATTTACCGTATAACAATGTAGACAGTGCTTAATAACATTTAGGAAATCAAGTACAAAACTTCCCATATCATAACAACCAACATTCTAATTTTCAAGTAGCAGCCTATGTTTACGAGGTCATAACTTTTTCTACAGTTATAATCTAGGGCTGAAATTGGTATCATTGGAAAGCTTGTTTCAAGTTAGTCAATTTAGACTCAAAAATCGCTCAATTTGGATTTAAAATGAGGAAGTTGTGGTCAGTTGAAGTTCAGGTCGCTGTGCAGGAAATTCTGCAGATTACAGCGCAAAACTGGCATCCTATGTTTACAAGATCATAACTTTTTTCACAGTTAGAATCTAAGGCTGAAATTGGTATTTTTGGAAAGCTTGTTTCGGGCTAGTCAATTTAGACTCAAAAATCATTCAATTTGGATTTAAAATGAGGGGGTTGTGGTCAGTTGAAGTTCAGGTTGCTGTGTAGGAAATTCTGCAGATTACAGCGCAAAACTGGTAGCCTATGTTTACAAGATCATAACTTTTTGTACAGTTGGAATCTAAGGCTGAATTTGGTATCATTGGAAAACTTGTTTCGAGCTAGTCAATTTAGACTCAAAAATCGCTCAATTTGGACTTAAAACAAGGACGTTATGATCCTTTGAAGTTCAGGTTGCTGTGATTCCAGAATTGCGAAAAACAAGTAGCTGCCTATGTTTTAAGCACAAAACACATAGAATTGATTCCTTAAAGGTAAAGGGTGTGAGAGTTAAGTAATCCTACCTCAAAGAAGCTTGAAACTCAGCAACAATCACAACTTAAAGTAACTCAAATGATGGATCAAAGCCTTCCAAGGTAGAAAATGAAGAACACTTCCTTCTTTGTTTGCAACCAAAACCCTCTTCTTTTAACACCACTTTCCAAACCCAGCAACAAAAGAAATGGACTCATGTTTGATATCAAAAGAACCCTCACTATCTAAGGAACATTTTTCCTTCACAAAGCCCCATCAAAATCCCAACACAAAGCTTCCAAAATTTAGTTTAAAAGGTATCACTATGGAAAGGAAATAGAAAGCACGAAAATTGGGTTTTACCAAAATGGTTTCTAAGAACAAAACACTAGGCATACTATATGTTATAAAATGAATGGATATGGTGCAACCACATACACCTACACATGTCATCCCCTCCATGGATTAAAACCAAAATCATAAGAAATGACTCAAAAGTCCTTTTATTTCCTACTAAATACCATTCATGCCATTTACATGATAAAAGTCAAGAATACCCTTTCACAACTAACCAAATGCCAATTATGCTATTTTGCATAGTAAAAGTCTACTTTGCCTTTGATCAAATTATCAAATACCATGTATTCCATTTGTAAAACAAAAAGTCCATAATGCCCTTTATGAAATACTAATTGACAATAACATATAATGATGTTTAATTCGCATTTGCAAAATAATCATATTTTTGACAATAAAAATAAAATGCATGAATGCTAAAATGTTCGAAAAAATAATAAAAATGCAGGCCCTCACAAAAAGAATCAAGAAAACATCATTTTTGGTGGACCCCGCCACCCACTTCTTTCTCCCTTATCATTACTTATCTACTTCCTTATCACATATTTATTCCTCTCAATCAAGCAAAAACCCATGTGAAGGAAACCAAAGAAAGAAAAAAATTTAGCCCAAAAAATCTTCAGTGGGCCCGTAAGTACACACCACAATTTTTTCTCTCTTCCCACTTCGGCCACCTGTTCACATTTCCTCCACACCTTCTCTTTCTTATCTCCTACCTTAACACCTTCCAATAAATAATACACACACACACACACAATTATATACAAATGTAACAAAAAAAAACAAACCAACCCATTACACCTGTGGGACCCGTGCCAATGACCAATTCATTATTTCTTTTTCCACTTTTCCTTTCTCTATTCCATTTCAGAAGCAGCTCCATTAGCATTTAGACAAGATATATATTATATATATATAATATATAAATGTAACCAATTTCAAGCCTATTAAATCATCACTAATGTGGATAAATTTTTAATAAAATAAATCAATAATCAACTATAACCACTTAAAAATCATTAAATTAAAATTTAAAAAAATTCGAGTTATCACATTCTCCACCAGTTAAAAAGAATTTCGTCCTCGAAATTTTAATCTAACAGTCTTCGCATACCCGAAAACACTAATAACCACAAAACCAATCCATAAATCCCTACCCCAGGTAATGTGAGATACAGTGATATGGAGGACGTTGTGGTAGCTGCCAGTGCTAGTCACCCGCCCACACACTCCGTAACCATTGTGGTAGCTAGTCGATGCGTCACCCGCCCACTAAAAAAAACAAACAATAACAAACCAGGGTTACCTGCCCAACCACACTAACCAACCATCCTAGTAGCTGCTAGTGAATGCCATCCACCCACACACACCCGACTACGAGTGGTAGCTAACCAGTACTACACACTCGCCCACTCACACCCGTCTACATCATCACTACACTCACACTTCCGGCTGGGTACAAGCTCTGATACCATTTTGTCACGACCCCGAATTTTCTAATAAAATTCTCGAATGATACAAATTCAAATACATCAAAATACACCCAGGATCACAAAAAAAAAAAAAAAAAAAAAAAAAAAATGCTCTCTTTTATACAAAGTCAATTTCCTCAAAAATACACAAAAATTCTCCAAATAAATAAAATAAATCCTGCAACACTGGCTCTTCATCCTAAGCCCATATCTAGCAATACCTGTTCATCTTCAGTACCTAAAACTGAAGGGTGGTGAGATAGAAAGTCCCAGTAAGAAAAACCATAACAAGAATTTTATGGAGGTTTAACAAAATAGCTTCACAAAATATACATATTCATGTGAGTATATAACAAAATACATATGTTGTAATGACCTGATTATTTTATTTCTTTTCTTTTTTCGGTAAATTTCTTTTTCCGTCTTTTCCCTATTTCGTCCTTTAGTCGTTTTTCATTTTTCTTTGCATAACCTCACTTTTTGCCCTCGGATTTCATTTTGGCTTTGCATACATCCATGATATTTAAATTCCATGATATCTACATTTTCATTTTTGTAGAAAAACATGTTAAATGTTTACTTTTCTTGTAAAGGACAAGAATGCATAACTTTTGGTAATTACTTTAAACTTGAGCGGTTTTTGTGTAATTAAATAAAGTAATTATTTTTCATCCTAGGGACCATTTTGCAATTTAATTTGGAAGATATTTTCAAAAAGGACATTTTTGCAATTTTCAAAAAATATGACAAGTGTCACATTCCTAAGGTGCCACTTGTTGATCTTGTGGTGAAACCACTTGGAAGCCTTGTTTGATGACACATGGAGGGTGGAGTTTCACCCATTTGTTGGCCTAGGATAAGAGCACTTATTGGCATAGATGGTTGACAAGTGTAGGCTTGATATTTAATCTTAGAAGCTTACTTAGATTCATGACAATTGTAGGCTTCACAATTGGTCTTGCATTAGTGTGTGTGTGAGAGGTAGTGCAAGAGTACCTAGTGAGTGGAGAATCCCACCATTTTAACTTAGGGTTTTCACTTTTAGTTCATTTTATCTCTTTCCTCTCAAGAACTCTAACTTAGCCACCATTGGAGCAAAGCTTGACTTAGAGCTTTGACTTTATTTTTGATACCCTTCCACTCACCTTAGACCATTAAGCTTGGAATACAAAAGCTTTGCCTCATCTTCCTCTTCATAACCCTAGAAGGAAAACTTGAAATTCCTTTGTTTCCCTTGGATTCAAGAGGAACAATCCTCTTATGAGGTAGGGGTGGTTGTATGTTTATCTTTTTTGGGTTTTATATAAATATTGGAGCCTGATATATATTGATTACATGCCTTTTTTTAAAATTCTTGTAATTACATATAAATAGAGCTTTTATATGTTTGACTTAGGATTTGTGGATTAAAGCATTTATATGACTATTAAATTTTATTGGTAGGTTATTGTTTAATGATTTGCCTAATACTTGTGATTTCATTGAGGGTTTATTATGAATATCTTGAAATTGCACTTATGTTGTTAAGTAAATAGAGATTTCATTGAGAGTCTAGTATGAAAATTTTGTATATAGCACTTATAATTACTTGTAGGTAAATTACTATATTGCATGATTAGTAATTGTGGCCTACATTAATATTAAATTCATATGACATAATGTGTAGTAACATTAGCTTCCCACTTTAGACATGCAACCTTAGGGCATGGTTTGTGTGGTTTTACCCTATTTGTGCTTGGTAGGTAGTATCATGCATTGAGATTATATAAATGTCATGGACTTGTTGATTTTTGGAAGCTTGTAAGGATATGAAATGTTTGATGGCTAGGGTTTGGCTCTAGTACGGAGGGCAAGAATTCTCCTATGTCATAGTGCGCACTAGGTAGTACCTTGGGGGTCGTAATTACCCAAAATAACTTGTATGGTCTCGTGGCCACATGTAATACCCCTAATTCTTAAAAGGATAGTCATGATATTTATCTAATTATTTAAATTGCATTTTTATTTATTTGCTTGTTTATTTGTTTGGTTATTTGAATTTTTAATTGTTAAATGGTTATTTGCTGAATTATTGAATTATTTGTATTTAATGATTTGAATTATTATTTGTATTATTTGAATTAATTATAATATTTGTGCTATTTAAATTATTTAAATTAATTGTTTTACTATCGTGTAACTGTTTAATTATAGGTGTCTTAATTGTTCCATTATAACTGTATAATTATTTAGGGTTTTAGGTTTCACGGATAGGCCGACTAGAATTGTAGCTAGGTTCTATAGTTATACACGGATTAGGGTAATTGTTCTGAGCTTATAAATATACACATTACAGTGGTTTAAGGTTTTAGAAAGGTAAGCATAATTCTGTAAAACAGAGAGACGGTGAGATGCAGAGCAATACAGAGAGGGATGGGAGATGAAGGCTAGGTTTTGATCTAAACTAAGGTTGGACCAAGGAGGAGAAAGGAGAGGTTGTTCATAGGTAAAACCAAGAGCAACAGAGGTGGAACATCAGTCAGGGATTTCGTCGGAAAATTCAGAGACGGTGGATTAGAGTTTCAAGACTGAAACTCAAGGCAAGTCTCTGTTCTATTCTTTCCCATGAACTTGTGTTCTGTGCATACTTAGGTGGACTCCAGGGATTTAGTGAATGCTTCAATAATCTGTTTTGCATGCTTGATATATATTTAATCTCATTTACTAAAACTGTTTTGCAAATTCCTTAAGTTTCTGTTAATTAGTTCATTCATTATATGTGTTTAAGTTTGCTTGTTTGAGAATAGTTATGCATATGGTTGCCTTGTGATTAATCTAGGATATTAAATGAACACTAGAACAAGGATTTAAACACATTCCAAAGGCCTGGAAATCACCGGAGTCAAAGAAGACAAAGGGAAAACGGACAACGGCTGCTAAGGGAGGGAGAGCAGGCTCCCAAAACCCTTAGAGCCGGCTCCCAAAACCCTTAGAGCCGGCTCCCAAAGAAATGGAGCCGGCTTTTGATGCCTTGGAGCCGGCTCTTAAGGTCCTAGAGCTGGCTCTAGGTGATTTAGAGCAGGCTCCAAAGTTTAAGAGAACCTGTTCTTACTTTAAATGGTCCAGTTTTGGTACTTAGGGGCTGTTTGGGCTGAATAGGTTTTTCTCAGTTGGTTTAAACTGTTTTAAATGGTGTATGGGACTGTAATAGACCTATAACAGTATGGGAAAACATTAATTCATAATTGGATTAAGGAATGGAGCGAGATTGATTTAGGGAAAAACCTATAGATGGTACACTGTTGTGGTTAGTTAACTTACGTGCTAGGTTTTGAAACTACTGTTGTATATAATCTTATACTGTTTAATTATGTTTAAACAGAGTTATAAGCATAGTAACCTCTTGAAATCATCTATGCTTGGTTTGAAAAAAATTGGTATATATATTCTGTTAATTGTGTCAGTTTAGGGATTATGTGGAGGATTTAAATGCTGTAACTCATGTTAGCAATTTAAATATTCGGAAGGTGATTTTTAGGTTCTGTCATGAATGCTTAGTTCCTTAATATATGAATTGAACTGTATTTATACATAT